TGGAGGGGAGCAATTAGCCACATAATTAACTTTTTAATTTATCGGTCAAGGAGCAGGACCTAATTGAAGCTTCCTTTGGGTGACAGATTCAAGAAACCAATATTTATAACTAGCATTCACTTAGCACACACAATGTGCCAAATGTTACCCTGAGCAATTTACACGTTTTCACTTGGCTCATCCTCCCACAACCTGGTAACCCAGTACCAATAAGATTATTCCCATTGCACAGGTGAGAAGATAGAGGTGCAGAGAGATTACACTTGCTCGGGGTCTGCTAAATTTACCTAATATGCGTCTAATACTACTTCCATATCTATTTTCTTCTTTGTTGTCATAACACGCTTGTGATTGACAAACATTTTATTACTTTGATATGTCTGTTCTGGAGATAAGAGAACTTCCATCTGGAGATAAGAGAATCTCCATCTGGAGATGGAGAACCAAAGCTCTCCTTTGGCCCCGTCACTTGTGAGCTATGTCAGCTGGAGCAAGTGCTTTACCTCTCCAGGCCCCAATTTCTATAAAATAGTCAGGGGAGAACCAGATTCTCTCTAAGATCTACCCCCACCTCCCACCCCTGCCACCAGTTGGAAAGCCCAAGGTAACAGGGAGAGACAGCCTTGTTGTCTGGAATGTCCACCCGCTATGTTCCAGCAAACCTGAGGTCTCTTGGCTTAAATACAGAGAGGTTAGCACCCCCTTAGTGGTTGTGAATGATTGTGTGGCTTTGTTATCTATGCGTCCCGGGGGGGCAAAGGAGAGCGGGTGCATTTTTTACCCAGATCTCCTCAAAGACTACTTAATTCAGAATGGGACCTCTCAGAGGGTGCCACCGGTCTGTTTCCATGGGCCCCAAGATGGAAGGTCTAGGGCCAGTGTGCCTTGAGGGGATGTTGAAGAAATGCCACAGGTGGATCATGCATGACAAGTCCTGGGGACAGTGACAAGGAAAAAGCCACGTGTTTCTCAATACAGTCCATTTTGGTACAGAGGGTGGCACAGAGGTACAGCCGTCAGGAAAACTTCCCAATCACATGTGCATGACAAGATCAGAGGCTGAGGTCCTCGTGTTTTTCTAGGTATTTTTGGTTTGGTTTGGTATGGTATTGTTTGGTTTTGCTTTATTTTAGGCACTCAGCTCTGCTTACACTTAAAAAGTTACTGTGCTCTGGCAGGAGTTGCTTTTTATTTTTTATTTTTTTAAGATTTTATTTATTTGACAGAGAGAGAGGGAACACAAGCAGGGGAGAGTGGGAGAGGGAGAAGCAGGCCTCCTGCCGAGCAGGGAGCCTGAGGCGGGGCTCCATCCCAGGACCCTGAGATCATGACCTGAGCCAAAGGCAGACGCTTAACGACTGAATGACCCAGGCACCCGGGATTTGCTTTTTAAAATAAAAGGTGGGGGACAGATAAGAAATTAACAGGCCTCCCTCAGTACATGATGACCTGTCATAGTTTTGACACCTGACATTTGGAGAGTGGGGACTGGATGGCAAACAACACGGTAAAAGTAAGGGTTTCACTGACTCAAAGGTTCAGGGGACTGGGCATCTTGTCAGAAGCTATCAAACAACTACAGTCTATTCAATTTGGAGATATCTGGCTCTCCGCCTATTACTAAAGTTATTTTTTTCTACCCAACACTAAATCTTCCTGTTCCAGAGACTCCCCCACTAGGAGTCCTGGGGTAAGGCAGATCTCACCTAAAGTATAAAAGCGGAGAAGACCAGACATTCATTTTCCCAGCTTTCCTTGCGGTAAGTCACAGCCGATCAGATGGACCCAGGGGTTTCCGTCAGAAGCTGGTGCTGCAAAGAAGTAGGGACAGTAGAAAAGGCCTTCTGGTGAGGCCGGTCGCCGTAGCAGCAATGTCTAGTATCCAGAGCCAGTGACGGTAGCAGTGTCGTGCTGGTAATGTCCTCTGCTCCGGGGGGGAACATGGGGAGGTCAGCCATGTCCTCACTAGGCTGCTCCTCAGGCATCATTTTGGCCTTGGCCATGACCGCCATCTTGCTTCCCTTGTTCCAGCTCATTTTGTAAGCCTGGGTCTTCCTGGTGATCCTGTGCACTCCCCAACAGGCTTTCCATAAGGTCCTTTTCTTCGATCAGCTGGAGTTGGTTTCTGTTGTTTATAGTGAAGAACTGTGATGGACACACTAGTTGCATGACTTAGACAAGTTAATCTCCTTAACCCTCAGTTTCCCTGTCTGTAAAATGGGGATCATACTCTTATGTTCTTCCCCTTATTACATAACCACTGAACACCTACTAACCATTAGGCACTATGTAAGCTGTTCTGCGCTCATACATAATAGTCTGATGGGAAAGACAGACATTAACAAATTGTCATGGAAATAATTTATTACAATTGTGTGAGATTCTGGGGAAAATTCATAGCAGCATAATTCATGACAGCCCAAACAGGCCAAATGCATAGCAACAGACACTGAAGAAACAAAATGTGGTATGTGCATGCAAGGGAATATTATTCAGCTATAAAGAGAACTGACACACAGACACATGCTGCCACATGCATGGACCTTGAAAAATTACACTGAGTGAAAGAAAGCAGACACAAAAGACCACAGACGGTATGATTCTATTCAGATGAAATCTCCAGAATTGGCAAATCCATAGAGACAGAAAGGAGATGAGTGGTCTCCAGGCACCGGGGACGGGGGGACGTACTTGGGAGTGACTGCTAAAGGTGACAGAGTTTCCTTCTGGGGTGATGCAAATGTTCTGGAACTAGATAGTAGTGATGGTTGCACCAACCTATGACTACACCAAGAACCACTGAACTGTACGCTTGAAAAGGGTCTGTTTCATGATGTCTGGAGGATCTCTTTAAAGAGGGCTCCCTTTCCTATTCCATTCATCACTGTTCCCTTTGCGCCCTGACTTCTTTCCCTTTTAATGCCCATCATTTTTCTCAGTGCTGCTAAGACACCCTCTGGTATCCCTAGGTGCACACATTTCTGATTTAGCAGACCCACCGCAAGGACCCTCCCTCTCTCCAGATTCCCCTAAGTCAATTCCAGGAAGACTCTCATTGTCTCCACTTAGGTCACACGCCTAATGCCTGTCTATGGACAAATCACCATGCAGGATAAGGGATAGGGGATGGGGACTGTGATTGGCTCAGGATGGTTACCTGGCAACCCACATAGGGAGGTAAGTGGTCATGTGATTAACAGCCCCACTGGAACCACACAGGAAAGGGGGAGTTTGCCCCAAAAGTGAAGGAGGAGCTGTTGCAGAAAGGCAGGGGGGCGGGGGGGGATGAGATGGTGTGCTTGACAGCCAACATCTATCCTGCTTCACCATGATTACTACGGTAACCAAGCTGTTCGAAGGCATGCCAGTAAAAGCTCCATAGCAACATTTAATAAAAGGCCTGAAGAATTAGTGGAAATTAGTCAAATAAAACCCAGTACCTAGGGAATCATGCTACAGGTGAAGGGAATACATACGTTAATATATATTAAAATGTATCATCAACTCTTAACCACTAAGTAATGAAGTGCTTGCTCTGGGACCCAGGAATCCTGCCTCCCAGACAAGGAGAGCTGTGGTTTAGAACACATTCTGGGGGCGCCTGGGTGGCTCAGTGGGTTAAACCTCTGCCTTCAGCTCGGGTCACGATCCCAGGGTCCTGGGATCAAGCCCTGCATCGGGCTCTCTGCTCAGCAGGGAGCCTGCCTCCCCCTCTCTCTCTGCCTGCCTCTCTGCCTACTTGTGATCTCTGTCTGTCCAATGAATAAATAAAATCTTTAGAACACATTCTGCCTCAGGTCGCCTGCAGAAGCTTGCCCAAGATTTGTCCCTGCCGAAGAGCAACGTACCTGATTCATGAAGACTCTCCAGCTGTTTCATATCACAAGCAAAATAAATACCATTTCATGCCTAGTGTTCCAGCCCTCTTCCCACATAAAAGTTGCAAGGAGATATTCTAATAGTCCTCACTTTCATCTAGGTAAAACTGCCAAGGGATGATAACATCGGCTCGAGCAAACTGCTTGGATCTTGGAACGCTCAGCACAGCAGGTTTGTTTTGTTTTGTTTTAATGTTAAGAGGTGGAAGGGGTGGGGGTTTGCAAGACTGGGCTGACACAGAGGCATCAATTTTATGGGGCTGGGAGAGGACATAAAAGTCATCCAGCCACTCATCTTAAAGATGGGGAAATCAAGGAGTACTGGAAGACTTTAATGATTTGGTCTAAATGACCCACATGCTCCTATCCCAGAAGCTGCCCATTTCTGACTCAGTCGGGACCCATCTGGTTGCAAAAGAAAGAAGCCAGTGAAAGTCCAGAAGCAGGGCTGGGACTTGGGGCTCCAATGATGTCACCAGGACATACCTCGCTCTGTCCCTGAGGTAGAGACTGTCTCAGTCTGCCCAGGGCTGAGGGGGCTCCTACGATGTGGGACTTTAAGTTTTAACCACAGGACAGTCTGGGATTAGTTGGTCACTCAAGTCTGTATCCTCAGCCAGCCATACTCTATGTTAACTCTGTTCTCTCCAGCTTCTCTGATGGAAACAAGAAGGCTGCCAGCATGTCCCACCCTCTCTGCAACCCAGACAGAAAAGAGACTTCCTAGCACCATAACACGGGTCCTGCAATTCACTCTGTTTGGGTCATATGCCCTGAATGCCTCACTATATCCAAGATGATGATTGGCTAGGGTTGCACTCAGCCCCTCCCAGACCTTCTAGAAAGGCTACAGAAGCCTTCACGTTGGTCATCATTTCATGGCTATAATTTTAATGCCCATTGTGATACCTGGCATTACATAACAAGTTATATTTATGTGAGATGATTGAGAGATAGATAACTATATAACAAGATGGTGTTCGTGGCCCAGTAAGAAATTGTTCCCAGAACCTCAATGTCATACAAATGGCTAGGAGACACATGAAAAAACGTTCATAATCATTGGCCATCAGGGAAATTCAAATCAAAACCTCATTGAGATACCACCTTACCCCAGTTAGAATGGCCAAGATTAACAAGGTAGGAAGCAACAAATGTCGGAGAGGTTGTGGAGAAAGGGGAACCCTCTTACACTGTTGGTGGGAATGCAAACTGGTGCAGCCACTTCGGAAAACAGTGTGGAGATTCCTCAAAAAATTAAAAATAGAGCTACCCTATGGCCCAACAATTGCACTGCTGAGTATTTACCCCAAAGATACAGATGTAGTGAAAAGAAGGGCCACATGCACCCACAATGTTCATAGCAGCAAGGCCACAGTCACCAAACTGTGGAAAGGCCCGAGATGCCCTTTAACAGACAAATGGATAAAGAAGATATGGTCCATACATACAATGGAATATTACGCCCCCATCAGAAAGGATGAATACCCAACTTTTGTATCAACATAGGCAGGACCGGAGGAGATTATGCTGAGTGAAATAAGTCAAGCAGAGAGAGTCAATTATCATATGGTTTCACTTACATGTGGAGCATAAGGAATAACATGGAGGACATTAGGAGAAGGAAAGGAAAAGTGAATTGGGGGGAAATCGGAGGGGGAGATGAACCATGAGAGACTGTGGACTCTGAAAACAAACTGAGGGTTTTAGAGGGGAGGGGAGTGAGGGGATGGGTGAGCCCGGTGATGGGTAATAAGGTGGGCACGGATTGCATGGAGCATTGGGTGTTGTACATAAACAATGGATCATGGAACACTACATCAAAAACTAATGATGGGGGAGGAGTCAAGATGGCGGAGAAGTAGCAGGCTGAGACTACTTCAGGTTGCGGGAGATCAGCTAGATAGCTTATCTAAAGATTGCAAACACCTACAAATCCAACCGGAGATCGAAGAGAAGAAGAACAGCAATTCTAGAAACAGAAAATCACCACTTTCTGAAAGGTAGGACTGGCGGAGAAGTGAATCCAAAGCGACGGGAAGATTGACCGCAGGGGGAGGGGCCGGCTCCCGGCAAGCGGCGGAGCAATGGCGCACAAAATCAGGACTTTTAAAAGTCTGTTCCGCTGAGGGACATCGCTCCAGAGGCTTAACTGGGGTGAAGCCCACGCGGGGCCAGTGTGGCCTCAGGTCCCGCAGGGTCACAGAAGGATCGGGGTGTCTGAGTGTCGCAGAGCTTGCAGGTATTAGAACGGGGAAGCCGGCTACAGAGACGGAGCCGAGGAGTGACTCTCAGCTCGGGGTTACCTTGAACCTGTCGCAGGCTCGGTGAGCTCGGAGCGTGGCCGGAGGCCAGGCAGACGGGAGTAATTGGGCGCTGTTCCCTGAGGGCGCACTGAGGAGTGGGGCCCCGGGCTCTCGGCTCCTCCGGGCCGGAGACTGGGCGGCCGCCATCTTTATTCCCGTCCTCCGGACTCTACGGAAAGTGCTCAGGGAACAAAAGCTCCCGAAAGCAAACCAGAGCGGATTACTCAGCCCGGCCCCTGGTAAGGGCGGTGCAACTCCGCCTGGGGCAAAGACACTTGAGAGTCACTACAACAAGCCCCTCCCCCAGAAGATCAACAAGAAACCCAGCCAGGACCAAGTTCACCTACCAAGGAGTGCAGTTTCAATACCAAGGAGAGTAGCGGAATTCCAGAGGAGGAGAAAGCAAAGCACGGAACTCATGGCTTTCTCCCCATGATTCTTTAGCCTTGCAGTTAATTTAATTTTTTTTTCTTTTTCAATTTTTTTTCTCTTCTTCTCCTAATTGTTTTTAACTTTTACCCTTTTCTTTTTTAACGTTTTTTAACTAGTTTATCTAATATATATATATTTTTTTCCGTTTTATATTTTTTCATTATTGGTTTTCTTTTTTTTATTTGTTTCTTTTTTCTTTTTTTTTTTTCTTTTTTCTTTCTGAACCTCTTTATATCCCCTTCCCGCCCCCCCTCACGATTTGGGATCTCTTCTGATTTGGCTAAAGCATATTTTCCTGGGGTTGTTGCCACCCTTTTAGTATTTTACTTGTTCCTTCATATACTCTTATCTGGACAAAATGACAAGGTGGAAAAATTCACCACAAAAAAAAGAACAAGAGGCAGTACCAAAGGCTAGGGACCTAATCAATACAGACATTGGTAATATGTCAGATCTAGAGTTCAGAATGATGATTCTCAAGGTTCTAGCCGGGCTCGAAAAAGGCATGGAAGATATTAGAGAAACCCTCTCAGGAGATATAAAAGCCCTTTCTGGAGAAATAAAAGAACTAAAATCTAATCAAGTTGAAATAAAGAAAGCTATTAATGAGGTGCAATCAAAAATGGAGGCTCTCACTGCTAGGATAAATGAGGCAGAAGAAAGAATTAGCAATATAGAAGACCAAATGACAGAGAATAAAGAAGCTGAGCAAAAGAGGGACAAACAGCTACTGGACCACGAGGGCAGAATTCGAGAGATAAGTGACACCATAAGACGAAACAACATTAGAATAATTGGGATTCCAGAAGAAGAAGAAAGAGAGAGGGGAGCAGAAGGTATATTGGAGAGAATTATTGGAGAGAATTTCCCCAATATGGCAAAGGGAACAAGCATCAAAATCCAGGAGGTTCAGAGAACCCCCCTCAAAATCAATAAGAATAGGTCCACAACCCGTCACCTCATAGTCAAATTTACAAGTCTTAGTGACAAAGAGAAAATCCTGAAAGCAGCCCGGGAAAAGAAGTCTGTAACATACAATGGTAAAAATATTAGATTGGCAGCAGACTTATCCACAGAGACCTGGCAGGCCAGAAAGAGCTGGCATGATATATTCAGAGTACTAAATGAGAAAAACATGCAGCCAAGAATACTATATCCAGCTAGGCTATCATTGAAAATAGAAGGAGAGATTAAAGGCTTCCAGGACAAACAAAAACTGAAAGAATTTGCAAACACCAAACCAGCTCTACAGGAAATATTGAAAGGGGTCCTCTAAGCAAAGAGAGACCCTAAAACTAGTAGATCAGAAAGGAACAGAAACAATATACAGTAACAGTCACCTTACAGGCAATACAATGGCACTAAATTCATATCTCTCAATAGTTACCCTGAATGTTAATGGGCTAAATGCCCCAATCAAAAGACACAGGGTATCAGAATGGATAAAAAAACAAAACCCATCTATATGTTGCCTACAAGAAACTCATTTTAAACCCGAAGACACCTTCAGATTTAAAGTGAGGGGGTGGAAAAGAATTTACCATGCTAATGGACATCAGAAGAAAGCAGGAGTGGCAATCCTTAGATCAGATCAATTAGATTTTAAGCCAAAGACTATAATAAGAGATGAGGAAGGACACTATATCATACTCAAAGGATCTGTCCAACAAGAAGATCTAACAATTTTAAATATCTATGCCCCTAACGTGGGAGCAGCCAACTATATAAACCAATTAATAACAAAATCAAAGAAACACATCAACAATAATACAATAATAGTAGGGGACTTTAAAACTCCCCTCACTGAAATGGACAGATCATCCAAGCAAAAGATCAACAAGGAAATAAAGGCCTTAAATGACACACGGGACCAGATGGATATCACAGATATATTCAGAACATTTCATCCCAAAGCAACAGAATACACATTCTTCTCTAGTGCCCATGGAACATTCTCCAGAATAGATCACATCCTCGGTCCTAAATCAGGTCTCAACCGGTATCAAAAGATTGGAATCATTCCCTGCATATTTTCAGACCACAATGCTCTGAAGCTAGAACTCAATCACAAGAGGAAATTTGGAAAGAACCCAAATACATGGCGACTAAACAGCATCCTTCTAAAGAATGAATGGGTCAACCAGGAAATTAAAGAAGAATTGAAAAAATTCATGGAAACAAATGATAATGAAAATACAATGGTTCAAAATCTGTGGGACACAACAAAGGCAGTCCTGAGAGGAAAATATATAGCGGTACAAGCCTTTCTCAAGAAACAAGAAAGGTCTCAGGTACACAACCTAACCCTACACCTAAAGGAGCTGGAGAAAGAACAAGAAAGAAACCCTAAACCCAGCAGGAGAAGAGAAATCATAAAGATCAGAGCAGAAATCAATGAAATAGAAACCAAAAAAAACAATAGAACAAATCAACGAAACTAGGAGCTGGTTCTTTGAAAGAATTAATAAGATTGATAAACCCCTGGCCAGACTTATCAAAAAGAAAAGAGAAAGGACCCAAATCAATAAAATCATGAATGAAAGAGGAGAGATCACAACTAACACCAAAGAAATACAGACAATTATAAGAACATACTATGAGCAACTCTATGCCAACAAATTTGACAATCTGGGAGAAATGGATGCATTCCTAGAGACATATAAACTACCACAACTGAACCAGGAAGAAATAGAAAGCCTGAACAGACCCATAACCAGTAAGGAGATTGAAACAGTCATCAGAAATCTCCAAACAAACAAAAGCCCAGGGCCAGACGGCTTCCCGGGGGAATTCTACCAAACATTTAAGGAAGAACTAATTCCTATTCTCCTGAAACTGTTCCAAAAAATAGAAATGGAAGGAAAACTTCCGAACTCATTTTATGAGGCCAGCATCACCTTGATCCCAAAACCAGACAAGGATCCCATCAAAAAAGAGAACTACAGACCAACATCCTTGATGAACACAGAGCAAAAATTCTCACCAAAATACTAGCCAATAGGATTCAACAGTACAGTAAAAGGATTATTCACCACGACCAAGTGGGATTTATTCCAGGGCTGCAAGGTTGGTTCAACATCCACAAATCAATGTGATACAACACATTAATAAAAGAAAGAACAAGAACCATATGATACTCTCCATAGATGCTGAAAAAGCATTTGACAAAAGTACAGCATCCCTTCCTGATCAAAACTCTTCAAAGTGTAGGGATAGAGGGCACATACCTCAATATTATCAAAGCCATCTATGAAAAACCCATCGCAAATATCATTCTCAATGGAGAAAAACTGAAAGCATTTCCGCTAAGGTCAGGAACACGGCAGGGATGTCCGTTATCACCACTGCTATTCAACATAGTACTAGAAGTCCTAGCCTCAGCAATCAGACAACAAAAAGAAA